TATGATGTTTCCGTGTGTTGACGATGTTTCCGAGTGCTGACAATGTTGCCAAATTTTTGCAATGTTTGTGAGTGTTTACAATGTTTCCGAGTGTTGACAATGTTTCAGAGTGTTGACGATGTTTCCGAATGTTGACGATGTTTCCGAGTGTTGACGATGTTTCCGAGTGTTGACGATGTTTCAGAGTGTTGACAATGTTTCCGAGTGTTGACTATGTTTCCGAGTGTTGACTATGTTTCTGACTGTTTTTGACCATTTACGATGTTTATGAGTATTTACGATGTTTCTGAGTGCTTACGATATTTCTAAGTTTTTATGATGTTTCTGACTGTTTACGATGTTTCTGGGTATTTTCATTGTTTCTGATGACTGTTTCTGATGTTTTTGAGTGTGGAAATGGGTTGTTCTTGTTAACGTCCTGTTCAGGTTTGCTTTAGTTTTTATGTTGAAGTCTGTTTGTGGCTGTAAACTGACACCAGGAGGCGGAGGTTGTTCCTGGTACATATAAGGGGGTAAAACAACGAGTGGTTTAAGAGTGAGTAGCCTCGCTGAGGAACAATGTGTCAGGGTGAGGCCTGGCCTTGTCTGGTCTGGTCTTGTGTAAGTCATTTCTTTCAGTGGGAAGGGGGCTCTTCTTAAATGTTCTTCGGTATATTTGTGAAGATGCTGAATATTGAGGTGGACACATAACAGGATTGCCTCTCTGACTGAAATATTTGTCATTTCAAATTGTTTAAAGATATCTCTCACAGATGTTTTCAGATTGCTTATTTTTTTATTTTTATTAACGAAGTCATCAGTGGGCCAGACATAAGTCACCCTGCAGCTGAATAGCCCTGATGTAGAGTACTAAAAAGTGAGAGAACTTGACATACTGTGCAATCAATCATACCTGAATATGCACAATATTTATGGCATATTGCCAGTTTCAGGTATATAGCTGTGTGGTTGTGGCTAATTTAAAGAGTAACTGGAAGCTTGAACAGTAAAAAAAAGAACAACAAAAAAAAAGCAGAATGTGCTCTGCGGTGTACAAATGTTCAAAGATAAATATAGTGCTGTGTTTTAAGTTTGCTTTCATTTGGGCCATCATTTTTTATGTGGACAGAGATTTCAGACTTCACTGCACGGTCTGGTACAGATACCCTCTTTTATAGGCGCTCAGCGGGTAGAAGGTGGCAACAACAAACTTTCCGTCAAACGTGCGGCCCGTCAGCAGACGCTGAGCTTCTTTGGAGTCACTGGAGTTGGCATACTCCACAAACACCTGGTGAAAACAGAATAAACTGAAGATTAAGTCTCTGTTTATATTCCTTGTTCGTTTTATTGGTGCGTAGACTGATGACCAACACATGTGGAGCCACAGCACACAACTCTTACCTGTCCTTTGCCTGGGTTTTCTTTAGGGATAAGCAGAGACACTACAGAGCCGTACTTCTGACACTCCTCTTTCATGTCCTCCAGGATGTCTGGGCACAACAATCAGACACTTTTACCTGCACTAACATTAATAAACAAACAAACAAAACCACAGTCTTTCCATATGAGAATATTACGAAAAGTAAACAAAATCAAAGTCGTAGCAGTCTTTGAGGGAATGCATAATGCCTGAGCTTTGTTTAGATTTGTTTGAGTTAGAACAATTAGAGTTGGCTAAGTCAAATAGCTGCAGTGGCCATCTTGAATTGGGTTGACTAATAGCCAATCAGTTGTGGATGCACACCCAATGATTATTTTCTAAAAGCTTCATTAAAAACATTAAAATCAGATATTTTGCTAACAGATAGACAAAGTTGAGTGCACATAATTAACAGTTTAAACATAGATCTTGCACAATTTGTTAGCTCTTAGAATATGTGTTGGGGATCAGTCTCAGCAAATAAATTTTAGGTAAATTTTACTAAGTCAGTTGGTTGTGGCAGCCATTTTGAATCCAAAAGTTAATTATTTGCACGTTTCAATATAATCTTTTCTGTGGTTCATGAGATGCGTTGGTAACAGACACACAAACATGAGTAAAAACGTTACCAACAGCAAAACGTCCGTTTTACCGTCATACTCTTCGTCGTTGTGCAAATGGCTGTCGTCAATCAAGTTGAGCAAACGGAGAACAGGAGAAGGCAGCAGAACCAGATCCTCAACGTGAGGCGCTGTGACACGTACATTCAGGTGGGTGAGTACAGTGAAACGACAGCTGCACAAGATGTGTGAACGTCTCAGATGCTGACACCTACCAAAGGGAATACTGAAGAATGGACTCAGCAGGGCAGTGTCAGCTGTGCATCTTTGTTTTGGATCATGAAGGAGCATGCTACACACAAACACACAGTCAATAATTTACATTACTGGAGACACAGTATTCATTATATTCTCTTGACAGGGGTTCTCAAATTGGGGGTCCGCAAAAAATATATATATGTTTTTTACAAGCACGTAGATGTTTAACAACCCATTAAAATATACCAAAATGCAAGAAATCACAATTTTATTCAAAATTTTCTGGGGGAGGACCCCCAGAGTCCCCCGCCGGCCTGCCTGCTGTTTGCATTCCAGCATCGATTGGTTTACAAATGAAGCACTGTTACTTGGTATGACTCCTGCTGTTATGATTCTGTTCAGTTTTATGTAAAGAGTTTTCTGTAATACTTTGAAAAAGTGCCAATACATTTATTATATTCATTATGTGAATAGGCAAAGTTTTAAAATGTTTTTTGATGCAGTTAATTTTCTCAAAACTGTAAATTTAGGAAGTTGAAATAAAAATTGTTGTTAATTAAGTGCATCTTGAATGAAAAATGCCATGTTTAAAAATATAAATATTGTATTAATACTATTAAAGAAAAGGTCTTAAGTATTTATGTTGCAAATATTTCCATTGCATTAAAGAGACAAATTGAAGAAAATTATTTAATAAACATGAGGGTTATGAGGGGTCTCTGAAACTTTCTCCCCTGAAATGGGTCCCTGAACCCAAAAAGTTTGAGAACCCCTGATCTATGACAGCGATTCCTGACCTGGGGGGTCTGATACAGAGCTGACACAATTCATCCATCAATTATCTTTTACCCGCTTCTTCTATTTTGGGTCACGGGGGTCGCCGGTGCTCATGTTCAGCAATCACTGTGCGAGGGGCGGGGTACACCCTGGACAGGTCTCCAGTCCATCACAGGGCCACATGGAGACAAATGAGACAAACAACCATTCACTCTCTCACTCGCACCTAGGGACAATTTAGAGTTACCAATCAGCCTAACATGCATGATTTTGGTCTGTGGGAGGAAACCGGAGTACCCGGAGAAAACCCACGCATGCACGGGAGAACATGCAAACTCCACCCAGAAAGGCCCCAGGACCGGGATTTGAACCAGGGACCTGCTCGCTGAGAGGCAGCAGCTCTACCAGTTGCGCCACCTTGCTGCCCATGCACAATTCAATTATTTTCTATTCAGTTCAGTTCAAGGCCTTACTGTCATAATGTCCTGTGTTTAAATCAAAGTCTGGTTCTGTGGTTTATGGATAGATTGGGGCAGTAAGAGCTGCCTCCGCCTCAACACCAACAAGTCTCCACAAGGACAAGGTACTGAGGTGGTACAACTAAAGGGGGGGGGGGGGGGTCACATTAAATGACAAATGACACTGATGCTCTTTTCATGAAGGGACAGAGCTACCTCTTCTTTCTGTAGAGGGTTACCTGTGCAATTAATCAACTCTTTTTCATGGAACTTAGGATGTCCTGCTGACCTGAATAAACTACCATTAGTCCAATAACTAATGATAATTAGTAACGCAAGCCCAGTAACTGAACACCACTTGGGTTCAGATAGGGCAGGCTGCTCCTCCCAGTCACACTCCTCCAGGTCACGCTGTCAAGGTCAAGGTTCTTTATCGATTCGCATCACATGTGGTACATGAGGTGGAACGAAATTGTGTACTCAGGGTCATTGTTCACGTGAGCAAGTCCCCCCAACACGATTAGAGTTCCCAGTTGTGCACCATCTTGCGCCCATCGCAGGGCTTTCAAAAGGGCGTTCTGCTCTTTTAAAAGTAATGTTGAGAGGCTGTCAGTAATTAATTTGCTAATTAATAACCTCTGTAAAGAGCCTGCAGTAGTTAGCTGTTAAATATTGAAATTGTGTAGTTTGCTATAAGTGTTTTAAAACAGTGTTACATTGAAACCAGAAATGTGACAGACAAGCTCTGACTGACGGTTTAATGCTGGATAAAATGTACAACCTACAGACATCTTTTTTAATTGAGCATAAATGTTTAGGGAATTCCCCTTCTTTACTAAACACAGCTGAATGAAGTCTCTGAGGAATGTTTGGTGAGGGGGACACCAGCTGGTCTCTCCATGTGCCTGGAGGGGGCAAAATAACTACATAATATATATTAAAATGCATTTCAACTGTATATGAACTGCATGATGGAAAGGTTTTGTAGTTATGACATTAATTTTAACACCATGGTAAACTATGAAACTGGTTATCACCCCATGCCTAGTAGGGGGAGGTGTGCATTGCTTTTTCTGTCACTGCAAGGAGGGGGTATGTTCAGGACCACCAATAATCTAATCTAAAGGAGAGTTTACCTCTTAATAAGGTCTCTGAGGTGATAAACTGGGATGGCGGGGCACAGCAGACTGTTGTTTGAGAAGATATGATCAACAACGGCAGTGCTGTTCTCCTACAGCACAGAAACACAGAAGATCTGCATGACTGAACATTTTCTGGCTTTTATACAGAATGTCTTTTACTGTTTTAAAGTATTTTCAATAACTTACTGGTTCTGGGGAGGGTGCTGTCATACCTTCAACTCTTTCAAGCAAACAGTGTCTTTGAGTTTGACTCCTGAGAACATCTCCAACAGGACCACGCCTAGACTCCACAGATCCACAGCAGCTGTGCAACCCAATTCTCCCTCTACCCCAGCCTGGGCCAGGCTGTTCTGAAGCTCGGCTTCGGGAGCACGGTACCCGTCAGTCTGGATGTACTTAACATCCTAAAAGAAAAAGACTAAAATAATCACAATCCCAGTTAGGACAGTCCCAGTTTGTCCAACATCAACACCAACCTGGTTTCCCTGTTTGAAGCTGAGGCCAAAGTCGATGAGTTTGAAGCACTCGTCATCGGCACTCCAGAGGATGTTGCGTGGTTTGAGGTCAGCATGGACGTAGCCTTCCCTGTGAAGGAAGGACAGAGCCTCCAGGATGTCTCTGGCACAGTGTTGGACGAGCCACATGGAGTGGCCCTGCTGAGGTCTGCCCACAAACAGCAAATTATGGATGTGTCATTAAAACCTCTCCTTTTTATGCAAACATCAGCAAACATTACAAGCATTTTCTTCCCAATAGTTTGAAAAACTCTGAAATTAAAGTTGTACGGTTACCGAATAATGGGTTGATAAAAATTGTCAAGAATTTTACAGCTAATCCTGACAATACACATTTATCAAATATCGATTTCTCTTAAGGAACTATAATTAACAGAATACCAAAAATCCATTCATTCATTTTATTGCCTCACTATGTAGAGTTGCATGGAGCTGATGCATATTACTCATTTTGCGAGAGGAAAAATAAATTTGTGGGAATTTTCTTGGATAATCTAAAAAATTGGTACCATCAGCCTCAGTGTACTGTCAAACATATTGTTTCCTAATTTCTGCTTAGATTGAAACATTGTTTGTTCACAATAAAAGTATTTAAAATTGCAAGCTTTTTCAAGAAAATTAACTAAATATCACCAAGGTTACTAATTTTTCCTCTTTCTGTTTCTGGAAATCAAAAATTAATCGCCTTCAGATTATTAGACTCAGAAAAATAATTGCAGTAAATCTGATTTTTATTTTTTTTAAACAGATCATAGATAATGAACATTTTTATATAATGTGTATACAACTATTCCAGATATTTTTCCTCATGATTTTTCCATTTAAAATAATTCAAGGTAATGTTTGAAAGCAACTTAATGTTTGGTTATTAAATCATTCCTTCATTTTTCTGTAACTGGCATCATTTGTGCTGTCAACAATCATTAGCAGGTGTGAGAGAGACAGGGGCAGCTGGACAACAGCAAATCCACAGTAAACAAAGATTTTCTTGGTTTAGTCAAACTAAAACAAAATGATCTCTGTGATGACATCTTTTATTAAAAGAGCTAAAATTAACTGCCTTCCTCAGCTGGTTGCGTTCCCAACTTTAAAACCTGTTAAAATCCTGTACTGTGCATATTTTGACACATTCCTCCAAATGTATAGAACTTAAAACAAGAGATTTTAATACAACCATTTTTTTTGTAGACCTGCTTCTTAGGGATTCAGACTGAAGCGCATAACTTTTTCAGATAGATTTAATTTTACATTGAAGCCCAAACTTCTCTGGTTTATTTGTCCTAATTTGTAAAAGACAAAGTAAGGCAGGAACTTTAACTTTTGTTGTGTGCTGCTCAGCAGCGACATATCTTACCTCCCTCCTTGGAGCTCAGTGGTCCGCCTCACCAGCAGGTCGGACACGCTGACGTCCAAGAGCTCCAACAGAAGGCAGTAAGTGGACACTCCCATACAATTGTGGTTGGTGAACACACCGTAAAGTGTTACTGAGAACATCAATAGAACATAAACAACTATTACTACTAAGAACAGAAACAGAATGGACACAAGTTCAAGAACATAAACACCAAAACATTACGAGCATTAACATCAAGAATATACACACAAGAACTGTTGAGAGAGGCAAAGGTGGATACTTGCCTTCGACGAGATGACAAGACGCCTCCAGAAACTATAAGCTCTCACACTTTTGGGGCACACCATTAATCTGGAGATGTCAACAGAAGCAACCCTTCCCCTGATAGTGTCATCAGCCAAGATCTGACCCCGACTTAAAGCTAAGGCTGAATATGAAAACATGAACTCAAAGTTCAACTCTCCTAACACACCATGGATGTGGGAAATGTTTCAGTCCTTCATGAATCAACAGGTTTATTTATTTATTTATTTATTAACCTTTATTTAACCAGACAAATCCCACTGAGATCACAGATCTCTTTTACAAGGGAGGCCTGGACCTGAAGGCAGACTAACATGCATGTTTTTGGTCTGTGGGAGGAAACCGGAGTACCCGGAGAAAACCCACGCATGCACGAGAAGAACATGCAAACTCCACCCAGAAAGACCCCAGGTCCAACCGGGGATTGAACCCAGGACCTTCTTGCTGTGAGGCAACAGTGCTAACCACTGAGCTGTCGTGCTGCCGGCTAGACCTGTGATTAAAGCACATAAAGAGAACATAACCAACAAGAGCATTCCCAAAGGTTACTGATAAAGCACGTGTGCAGGTGTAACCTGTGATAGTTTATTCTAAACCAGTTCTCCAGCAGTTGAAACCTGCCTGGAGAGGTAACCTCTTTACCCATAGAGCCAAGGTTACAAAGCAACCAAACCTTCTTAGTCTAGACTGGTCAAATCCAATAATGGCCAAAGGTCTTGAGGATACTGAAGCCAAACCAGCAATAATACCTGCTGTCTAGATCAGCATGGAATTGACCAAAAAAACCTGCTAAATTCAAACAACAATTAGATTTTGGATAGCCATGCTGCTGCCACACATATCAAAGGACCACCATGGTATAGCCACAGCACAGTGCAATGTGCCTGATGAGGCATGAGCACCACAAGAATCATGTGTGTGCTGACCTTGTACAAAATCCATGGCGACAGCCTGTTGCTTTAATAACGGACTGCCCAAGATGAGAGATATGAAGAAGATGAATGCTAATCAGCCAACTGGATGACAACTGTACAGCAGATGAACCCACCAAAGTGCTACTAGTGTACAGTGCAGTATGAATCCCACCAAGAGTGGAGGGGGACAACGATCCAAGTAACTCAGATTAATGGATCTCAAACTGAACTTTAGAGAACATTGAATAACCTTGAGGTTGGATGAGGACAACATCCTACAGAAGTCAACACGCACTGACAGAACGTTGAGAGCCCCTATTGGGCTGACAAATGATATGTCAACAGAGACACAATCTGAAAAGAAGTGTTGTGAAATAAGAGATGCCTCTAAAGGCTCTATACAAGTCACAAAGAGGGAAAAACCTTTAGCTCTGTGAGCACCAATCCTTAGCTCATTGTGGAGTAGACAACCTCTGTTCAATAAATAACAGCAGAGACCCATGGAGCCATCGTATCAAAAATTAAATTTAACTAGAAATCATTTCTAAGAATAATTGAGCATTCAGTTTCTGCGTTTTATTTTAACAGCCACCACCTTCCCTCATCTTACCTTTACATGTAAAATTCTACCTTTTCTGCAGTCACTGAATTATTGGTATACAACATTCTCATCGACATTGTGTTGAGCAGCTTTCTGTCTGTCAGCTTGTCCCTCAGCAGTTTAATCGTCTTTAATATTAGACACTTTAAAATTCCCCTCCACACTCTGAACCCAAAGACTCAAATGTAGCACGATCAAACTGACTGATAACAAAAAAAAACAACATTTTTTTAATTTAAGGGGAGACTGTCAAAAATATATGTGCTAATGGTGGCAGTGGAGAGGTGGGTGTAGGGGCCGAGATGGGGTAGAGGTAGGGCAGCCGACTTGGGACCAGAAAGTCACAGTTTGAATCCCAGCCATTCTCACACGTCGTGGTGTCCCTGAGCAAGACATTCAATCCCCAGTTGCTCCCCGGGCACTTACATTAGCTACCCGCTGCTCCACCTGAGCGTATCTCACGTGTGATGGGTTAAATGCAGAGAACTAAAGTCGCCATTGTATGGAAACATACAATAGTGACAACACATAGCACTTTACTCAGTGTCGGGAAAAGATGGAACGCAGCACGACTTTGGCTTTGCTCCAATGAAACACCAGAAACTGATACAACGGAAGAAACTCTAAAACTGACATGAAAATGAATTATTCTGCAAAAAGAAAGCCATGCACCAACATGGACAAATGGCTATGCAATGAAATAAATTGGTTTATAAAATGATAGTGGGGAAAAAAAGCGAATGGATGATGTGAACAAAGGATAAAACAATTTCAGTTGCGTTTTGCTTTATGAAATCACTTTTTTTTGCTGTAAATAGCACTTCTGCCATCTGAATAGTTAAATATAATTTGCAGACACTTTATTTTGTATCAGGGTAACACTAATTCTTCTGAGAAAATGCTACTTTTGCCTAAAATGACCCAGGTTGTATGGGTAAGAGGGGAGATGCGTTCTTAAGACTACACAATGAATGTATTTATGTTCTGCTCTGTTCTTGTTCTGATCGTACTTCTTGTCACTAAAGGGTGCTGATGTTGCAATGTAGGGCAGATGAGACTGTGTTAGAAAAGACATGCGTGTAAGAAACAAGGCATCTCAACAGTTTCAGTGATACGGGTTGTGAATTTAACCATCATCTACTGTTTATTCACCTCTACAACACACAAGAACTTAATCAGAATATAAAAACCTAGTAAAAGAATAAACAGAGATCAAGAATAGACTCTGAAAGAACACAGAAGCATCTCTCAGTGGTTGCATTTAAGTAGAAGCAGATTTTTATGTCTTTGTATGAGTGAGAAACAGCTCGAACGAAGTCAATAATATAGTTACCAATGTTTTTGTGTCCCTGGATGTCCTCCAGCACAGACCTCTCTTTGTGAAAGCCGTAATCTCCACCCTGAGAGTCGGCCTGGAACTCCTTCACGGCGGCTGTGGCGGCTCTGCCGGAGCTGACCCGGTACACCGAGGCCGACACTCCCTGGCCGAGCCGCGACTGGACGGTCCAAATCTCTCCAAAGATCTCAAACAGCACGGGCCTGGTGGTGCTCCGGTCCGGCAGGACGCTGTCTGGAGCCTGCAACTTTGCGCTCGGCTCTGAGTGTCCGCAGTGAGCCATCGAGAGGAGAGCCGGCTAGACGGTGGCAGGATGAAGGAGCAGCGGGGACATCTTTATCATCGGCGCCTCACAAAGCACGAAGACGGGCAACAAACACTGAGGATACATCCCCAACCTGGTTCAAACTAAATATAAAGTAATGTCACCGCCAAGGCTGTCACAGACTAGCCGACTTAGCTTAAACTAACCGGCGATGAGAAAAAAGTAACAATACACCTCCACTGTGCAAAACACGGTGCTTCTCCCATAATGCACCGGGAAATGTAACGACTAAAACAACTTATGAGTTAGTAAAAATGGTCATCTTAGACTTTAGCTAAGTATTCCCTGACTTTGGTAAACTCTGGTTGTTGATACAAAGATAACTTCCGTTTTAGATGCGGGTTGCCAAGTTATAAAAAAACGAAATACCGTACGGTCGATTTTTAAAACTGTATTTTGAATCGAAAATTTGTGCCGAGTGAGTGAGGGTGCATATGTCTCGCTTTTATATGCACGTAGCTGCCACAACTATCGTATATTTGGACTGTAAAAAAAATATCTGACCTTACAAGTATCGTATAAATATGATAACCGCTGCACATTTGGCAACACTATTTCTAAACAATGCTTTTTAACCGTCTGCCCTCTGCCGGCAAGGAAGACAATTACACTGGTTTCTCCATCCACAGCCTGGTTCACTGAAGCAAGAGAAACATAAACTGGACAGTTTCTATAGTTCTCTTGTTTCAAATGCCATGCTGACTCAGTTTTCACACAAATAAATTGAGCAGGAATGTTGCCATGTAATACAATATAAGGAACATTAACGAGGCCACTAATTGAGATCAAGCATAAATAAACAGACTAATATAACTCACCAATAAAAATACAGGTAAGAAAAACTTCAGCTTGCAAATTTTAATATAACAACACAGCAGACATGTCCTTAAACCATTTTGGCAGTGTGTTGGTGTTCCTGTTTGTTAGCAAAATATATCTAACCACTAAAAAGATTGAAACTTTCAGAAAAGTTATCATTGAATGTACATCTGAAACTGATTAGTCGGCTGGATTCAAGATCGCTGCCACAGCCAACTGGCCTTAAAAAGCACTAATAAGTCAGTCAACTCTGCAGATACTGACCTACAATTTAGTGTGGTAGTAGCTGAGACTAATCCCCAACACTTATTCTGAGAGATGAGGTGGAGTACAGTATTTGTGTTTTTGGGTTAGACACATGACATAAACCAGAGCTGACATAAACAACACCCCTAAACACCCGTTGTGCTTTCGGGCACTCCTTTTTCCCATCAGCACTTGCGAGGCCGGAAGTGCACTGCAGTTTTGGCGCGGTTGTCAGCCATCTTGGATCTGCTTCACACTAAGCTTTCTCTGCGCGAAGATACTTCATTGATTGCTCTTCTTGCGTTGATTCGGAAGAAACCGGTTTTGCATCCAAGTGTAAACAAATAATCAGTTATTTGTTTTCTGCTGTTAAAGCTAACTCGGGATTATTTACGGAATCGTTATGGCGACTGCTAACGTTACTCCAGGCCGAGCAGCGGGCCGGCCAGCGGCCTCTACCCCCCTGTCCCCGACCCGTATATCTCGCTTGCAGGAGAAGCAAGACCTGCAGCATCTGAACGACAGACTGGCCGTGTACATTGACCGTGTCCGGTCATTGGAGCTGGAGAATGACCGACTGATGGTCAAAGTGTCTGAAAAGGAGGAGGTGACGACCAGAGAGGTGGGTGGAATAAAACAAAAAAAGTTTCTGCACTCGTTCCCGCCACGTGTGGATCAGATGTTCACAAACTCACTTTAAGAAAATAATTCAACCAAATTGATATTAAACCTAAATAGAGCCGCTTTGAGGTGGAGCCGCCCATAATGTAATGTATGACCATTGAAATCAAACACAAGCTTTAATCACTTTTTGAGTGAAATAGTCATTTTAAGACAGCAACTTATTAGTCTGGCTAATAAAAGTTTTAACTATTTACGTTCTTTTGGACTATAGGAGGAGAGGTGGTGCATACTAGAAAAAAAAAAAAGCGAACCTGTAAATAATCAGAAGGTGGCAAGTTCAAATTCCCCCGCCGACCGTGACAACAAAATATGGGTGGAAATGGGTCACCCTGAACCCATGAGCAAGGCCCTTCACCCCCACCATCTGCTCCACACAGAGGGCTGTGGTAGCTCGGTGGTGTGGGTGTGTCAGGAAGGACATCCGGGGTAAAAACAATCGCCAAGTCTTGTGTGAGTTTGCTATGGAGACCCTGAAGAATGGAGCAGCCGAAATAAATAAATCTTGTGTAAAACTCAAATAGTTTTGGATACATACCGCCAGTTTTGTTTGTTTTACAAGATAAATTGATCAGTTGCCCTATCTTTTCTTTTAATGGACTTTTTATGTTACTCAAGGTGACTTTATTGTCATTTGCATCATGTGGTACATGAGGTGGAACGAAATTGTGTACTCAAGGTTCCAGTTACACCCAAAAATAGCAATAAAACTGTATACAATGATCTAGGATATACATACCAGTACATGTACTGGCATTTATGCAACCTGTCTGTGTTCCTTCGTCTGTCGAACAGATCTATGCTGCTGCTCTTGGGTGTGATATCAACAATAAATTAATCCAGTTTGTACTAAATGTCTGGGACCCAGAAGCCTAGAGTTCAAAATGATTACAGGCTCCTCAGATTCAATCTTAATGATTTCCTAGGTTTGGTAAGGAGACTGGTAGTAGCAGACCCTATGATAGTCAACAAGTCCTCCAACCCACAGAACAACAACTTGTAGAACGGAAGATCGTGTTTATAGAAAATATCAGGAGGAACAAATGTTCTCTATTGTAATTGTAATTCAGTGTAAATAACTATGCATGTTTGTGTTTTATTTTTTTCTTTAGGTTAGTGGGCTCAAAGCTCTGTATGAGGCAGAGTTGGCTGATGCTCGCCGAGTTTTGGATGATACCGCTAAAGATCGAGCCAAGCTGCAAATTGAACTGGGGAAGGCTCAAGCTGACCTGGAGGAAGCTACTCGCAGGTGAAGTGATGTATCCAAGAGTCAAATATAGTTCAACGAGGGGTGACTGTGGTGAAGTGGTAGGTCAGCTGACTTGGGACCAGAAAGTCACGGGGTCAACTCCCTGCCGTATCCACGTGTCATGGTGTCCTTGAGCAAAACACCTAATCCCTGGGCACTTACATAGCTGCCCACTGCTCCACCTGCGTGTATCTCGCGTGTGATGGGTTAAATTTAGAGAACTAATTTCTTCATCGTATAGAAACGGACAATGATGAGAATACGTAACACTTTCATCTGAGTTCTATTAAGAGACGCACTCGGTTTGTTTCTGTGGGACGATATTATAGATGCTAATTTTGATTGATTTTGATTTATCTTTAAAAATATACGATAAAAACCAAAATATGAAGAAAAAAAATCTATAAAGTTTCTGATAAAATAAGACACACCAGACTGTCTTTTCTAGCTGATTCTTTGAACTCTATAGAGTCCTGCAGGTTTTTACATGGATTATTAAATTGCTTGTGTTGAAAGTGTTGTTTTCATCCCTTGTCTCAACACTTGCCGAGCATGAAGTTGCAGCTTGCTTTAATAGAGCTGCGTCGAGGAAAAGGCTTGTGAACCGGCCTTCTTGTGAAAGTTTATACAGATTAAAGAAGATAAGATAGAACTTTATTGATACCGCAGGAAATTGTGTGCCAGGTTTTCAGTACAGAGGAACATACATACACAAGGAATCACACAAGATATAAAAAAAAAATAGAGACTATTAAAATATCAGCAATTAAGTTCTAAACAGGTCAGGTACAGACGGAAACATTAAAGTGTTTATATAATAAAATAAATAAATAAATAATATAGGATTAATTTTATGTTCCTATGTGTAGAAAAGGAGAGGAGTTGAAAAGTGTAATAGCCACAGGAGTTGAAAGAAGAGAACAAGAGTTGAAGTTTGCTCTACCACAATCAGAGAAATGTTTACAAATTAACTCGGTGGCAGTACAGGACTGCAGCAGGGCTCTGGTTATTACAACAGAATAATTTGTCTCCGTGCGTTACTTTCTACGAAGGACTGGTGACATGTCCAGCATGCATCCGATATCTCACACAATAAGGGGGAGTGGTGGCGCAGAGGTTAGAAGATGGGCTTGTGATCAGAAAGTCGCAGGTTCACCTCCCGGTACTGTCAACATCAAAATGTGGGTGGAAAAGGTGAAACACCTACACCTCCCTCCACCCTCATTTGCCCCACCCTGGGCCCCTGAGCAAGGCCCTTAACCCCCACCATCTGCTCCCTAAACAGGTCTCTCTTGAAAATGAGTTCTCGTCGCTCAATGAGACTACCTGGATAAATAAAGAGAAAATGAAAAAAAAAAAACTGCTGAAGATGGGCACTAGCTTCACTGCGACCCTGCACAGAGTAAATAAAACAAATGGATGTGTATTCTTTTTTTTTTTTTCTGCATATCATAGGTGCAATGTAGGACCATAGTCAAAAACCAGTATCAGCCTCCCAAACAAAAATTGGTGCATCTCTTTGCTTTACTTTTGTCACTGTCGTTCGCTTTGAAAGCCCTCCAGCTGACATCATATGAGTATGAGTACATTGCACACATAATCAGAAAATACTGCTCGGATAGCACTTGGAGAAGCTCGGACGTTGGCACTAAGATTCTGATTATTTTTGTCCTGCAGTGTCAAGAAGAAGGACGGCGATCTTGCTGCAGCTCTGTCCAGAGTCGGCGGTTTGGAGGGTCAGCTGAATAAGAGCGAAGCGTCTCTTTCCACAGCTCTGAGTCAGAACGCTTCGCTGACCTCGGAGCTCGCTGACATCAAGAGCCAGCTGGCCAAGGTGGGCACCACAGGCTGATCTGTTCCAACACTGAGGAACAAAATACTCGCTAGAAACGATTCTTTTAACAACACATTTCTTTCTGGCATTTTAATTATGAGAGATTCTTTGATCCGTGCACTTTAGAAGTGTCCTTATGTACCTCACTAACAGATTTACAGAAATGCTAACTTTACATCTAAAACGTCTAATTCGATAAGGATCAGGTTCATCACTAAAAAGTTATCCCAAATCAAATGTTTCAGAATTTTTACTAAATATTTTATTATGATAACTTTAATTGATTTAATTTAGATGTTTGTTCTTCAGGGTTCAGCAGTGAAAAGATGTGAAAACACATCAATAGAGGGCCCCTCCTATCAACTATTTTTATTTTGATTATCTAATTTTTTTAAATTAATTTGGACCCACTCGCCCCACC